GGGAGGAGCAGCGTTTAGAGATCACTGTGCTTAATTCGGGACATTTTAGTGTTGTGAACTATATTTGCTTTTGTTTTCAACTATAATGCTATATTTAAATTGCGTTCAAAAACTTGAGACGTTACTTCATAGGCATGTATTAACAGAAACCAACGTTGAGAAGACGTGAGCAACACAAGTCGGAAACATACAAGTGAGTCACATGTGAATGTGAGCAAAGAAAAGTCAGTGAAAGACGTCGTTCGAAAGTACACACTTTTCGCTCTACATCTCAAATGAATCGTAACTAAACCGTGTAAATTTAAGCATTCAAAAGACAAATCTTGGTTCTCTATTCGTCATTTAAATACACAAGTAACAGCAAAAATGGAAGCATCAACATCGAGTGCCATTGAGTACTTGGTTTACTAGAGACTGCTAAGAATCTCCGTTTCTGTTTTGTACTTGAATGTGCAAAGCAGGAGTATACTGTCACAATTGTAATATGAGGTGTGAGTACCAAATTGGTCACTGTGTTCGTTCAAAAACTTGCTGTAAATACAGCAACCTCTCGACAATCTTCTCTGGCAAAATTCCTAAGAGCAAAAGTGCTCTCAAAAACAGCCCAGCCGCCTCAAGAGTTTCGAGGAAATGTGAGATAACGCAACAGAATGTTTATTGCTGTGTATTGGCTACCCCTGAGACAAATCTTAATCACTACACTACAAAAGGTGTGACGCCTTGATGCCCAAAGCACTGTCACAGCTGATTTCCCCTCCGAAGTCTCTCAATTTCACAATCCAACTTAATCCCATCTTCAATCGTACCTTCGATGCGACCTTTCGATCTCAAAGACCGCATACTAAGATCTAGGCAGTTGATAAATAGAACAAAGTTGAACTTTATTAGATCGTCCTGACTATCAAGAAGTTTGCCTGTAGAGAATGTTCCATCTCCTCAACTGTCATTTTAGCGTACTGTGGATCGGCGAGTGTTCGGCCAGTTATGGGGCTATACAAGTTCCAGTAAATACTAACTTCTGTCATCAAAGCGCTATTGGGACACGTACATAAAATTAAATGCATAACTACTTTAATACATTAAGTAAGATGTTCAACGCTTTCTTACACCAGAGGCAGACTGCGTTAGTTTGAAACGTGATTTCATCAAAAGTGAATCTTAATAACAGTGATATTGCAATAATATTGTCACAATAAAATTATTCTTATGTTGGTTAAGGAGTTTGGAGATTCGTCTCTTTTACCTTCTACACTAGGAAGTGTTTTCTCAAGAACTGAGATGATGGTCTCTATTCAATTTCAATTTGAATTTGTTAATACAATGAAATTGCAGAATTTGAAGAACAAAAATGTTTGTCTCCTGCAAGTACCAGCAAGTAGCTAAAGGTAAGTCCGCACACCTTTCTATCAAAGGGGAAATAAGGTTGGATGGCCTGAAACCCATGACGTATACAAATGACAGAGCAATTATAATAAATCTATCAATTCACCAATGATATTCATGAAATAACAGAGCAGCACATACCCATCTTTTGACGAAGAATCTTTTTCACAGGTGCTAACGACTTGTGATCAGTCACGACCACCTTAAACAAGTATTTCATGAACGTCAATGATTGGAGAAGGAGACGGTCTACACTAGGTCACCCATTTGGTCTTTTTCACCTCGCCATTGTAGGTAATAACCTTTACAGCAGTAGAACATGTGATTCCTTCCTGTTTCATATCTCTAATCCCATAGATGTATTCTAAAATGAATGGGAGATCAGAGTAAGACTCGTGTGGTGTTGGCACAAAATGCAGTGATAAAATGATAACTCACAATCAAAATCAATTGTGCAGCCATCCTTTCTGTAAGGAATATTAAATTCTGATTCATCGTCCTTAATCCTTATCAAGAGCGAAAGAAAGCCCAATGCGATGTCCACGTATTCTCTAAAAATAAAAATTCATTCCCACTTTCTGTAATATGCTCAGTGCTGTAATCAATATTGACAGTGAATAGATTGACACAGAAGATACTCACCTATTTTCTTCAGTTATATCACCCGTTTCCAGTAATCAAGGAGGTCAATATCTTGACCTATCAGAGAGAATACTTTCTGGCTTCGACGCTACAATTACGCTTGCAATGAAATTCAATTCATTCCTTCTTGTGATTGCCATAAAGAAATGGGAAAATTTTTGCTTTTGACGTTGAGAAAAGATGTATGCAGAGCGCATCACAGGTCCCCTTTCACACAATGAAGGAGATTCGTTTATCCATGGCAATATTGCTTCCAACCTCGAGTCCTCGCTTGGGGGCCAACAACCATGGGTTACTCAAAAGTGTCTTCATGTCCTTTGCGTTCGTCCATCGCAGGCACTTCTTATCTCTAAAGAGAATCGGAAGTACATACAATCCTGCGAATACACTGGTTCCTCGAATCATGTTAGCATAGAATAGAGCTAATCACTCAAACTCCATCGACATTGATTAGAATGAATCTAACGAAGGAAAGGAGAGCTCGTTAGTTAAGTTTCATGAATGATTTCTCATAATTGAGCTAGTCAACTCTACGCAAGTGAACAGACTTTCAGTTCTGCAAATGGGCAGCATACTTGCCGGTCTATGATTTGTCCGTTTTTTATCGACGACTATATAAGACAAAATCTGTCAACTGTCTCATCACTCGCCCATAAGACCTGCTTCTACAACTCGAGTCACCTCTACAAACTGCTGTCTCTTTCCATTCTCTTCCAATTCCTATTTCAACTTGTACTCCTTTCTACCCTCCTGTTTGAATTTTGTGTGGGGTTATTGCATCGTATTGCTTTTTGATAAACTCATTACTTTTATAAGGTAAACGCATCTATAAATTAATGGTTTAGAAGTGCTTTAAAATAATATTAAGTGAAGAATATGTGGCCATTAGGCATGATGTTTTCGATTATAAAAAAATGGGAAAACTTATGTGGGAATGTGTGCTTATATCAAAACCCTTTGGAATTGCAAATATGAAGAACAATTGACTATCACTGACCTCTCTTCAATAAAGTTCCGACAAACGTCAAATAGGGATTACGATCCAAGTCGACGTGCCAATAAATGGAGCTGACCCACCGGGCGCAAGCTAATTCCAATTTTGCCTGTGTAGACAAAGTCTATCACAAATACGACAAGTCTGACATGAATCAACAATGAAGAAAAAAGCGAATTTGCATGTTCTCTGTAGAGAATCGATGTCATTTCATAGTGGAACCTTGATTCTGCAGTAATTGGTTAATAAGTCTTGGAAATTGGGTACAAATTATCAATCGATGGGCTGAAACCTCACGATTCTTCTTTGTCCAGAGATTGATAATTGCAAACATTGAGGTTGCTCATGTCAATAACAAAAATGTGCAGAGCAATCAGGTGACCCTTTTGTCGAAGTTGGTTGAAGAATTCTGTGTGAATCAAATGCATCGCAACGACATAGAAAGTTAAGTTAAGGTTTTCAAGCCCCATCTTTACTCAGCAAGCTGAGTGTTAACAATGTCGCTCAAGATAGACCCATACTGCATTTGCACTACGTGAGTGCACCACTGATAATTCTCTCTCCGATTTGATAGGCCAGTTTAATATTGCGCTGCCTAAGCAAGATGTGAATTTACAACTTGCGTGTTAGTACACGACTGAAGCACGCCAAGTGCAGTGATAAGTGCAGAATTGAATCTTGGCACACAAAGAAGTAAAAATGCTTATGGAAAACATAAATTAATACCCCCCTTCAGTCTAAAGTCTGTTCGAACCGATTTGGTGGAAATTGTCAAATGTTTATCACCTTTATTAATTCAAATTTACCACTTTCCATTACAATAAGTACAAGAATTAGTATTTTTCCACCGAAATTTTGTTCAAGAATTAGTTAGTTTTTAACATGCTTTCGATTTGCTAAAAGGAAGCTTGCACTAAAACATATTGACACATTACTTATATTATCATTTTATATATATTTTTTCTAGCAAAAGCATATGTAATTAAAGCATTTTCGAAAACATTCACGGTTTTAATGTGTTCTTTAAATGTGAATAATTTCCTATGGTAAACATATATATATATATATATATATATATATATAGAGAGAGAGAGAGAGAGCTTACTCAAATGTCTTCCCAATTAGCATTACGTAATAAATTCATTAGATATGAGGGGCAAACAAGTAATTGCGTTAACAATGGTCTTAATATTAGATTTTGTGTTTAACTCGAGGTAAAGGAATAATTTTACTATTTGAAATAAGCAAAAATGTTAACATCGATTTTATCGTGAATCTTTTTCATGTAATGCAACAACAATTATAGTAATAAAGTTTTTAAGATGAAGTCGGTAGTTTTGTTTATTTTAAGTAAATAATGTAGAAAATAGGTCATAGGTTGGGCGCTAGATTCCCCGGACACTTTTATTTATAACTAAGTCCGTGAATCGGTAAAATCCAGACCCAGTATAATCCTTTCATTTTATTTCTCAGAGCTCCACAAAGGTGAAAAAACTCATCCATTCCTTGAATTTGATGTAACTTATTATTCGCTTTTCTGTTGGAAGGCATCTTCCCCACCATTTGGACAATTTAGTTTATATTTCTTATTTATATTTTTTATTAATAATCGGAAATCATTAATGGAATTTTTTAAAGAATCATCATAGTCTGAATGTTTAATAAATAGATGAATGCATCAAAATTATCGTTTGGTTTTTATGCGCGATAATAAGGTAATTATTAGACGTACTGTGGAAAGCGAAAGATGAGAGAATTTGTGGGAAAAATAAAAAATTGCCTTCATGGAGTTAAAATACTGGGAAATGTAATAATTTCCGACGATCTCTGTGCTTTTGTTGTTTCTACTTCTGTAGATGTTGCATTTATAGCACATGGCATTCGTGGGGTTACGAAATTCGTAGGCAACATAGGGCCACATGTTAAAGATGATGTACTCTGCTCTGCTCTGCTTTATGTAGAGTGAGTTCATTCTTCTAAATGTCATGTCAAAGATGAACGATTGGAAATTATTCGGTATTGGATTTAAGGGATTGGTCATGAGATTATTGACGGACTCAAATCCACGGTCAATTATGGTGCTCTCAGAGAAAGTGGGGTAGTGAAAAATGATAATTATGACTCAGACAACAATCTGCACGTGTAAATTAGTGCTCTTCTGAAGACTAATAGACCCTAACTGTTAGAGTCTCAGTTAAAAAGAGGCTTTAATGTTAAGCGCATGATGATGTCTTAATCCTCTACTGGAAATGGTCCTTTATTTAATGAACTTAATATCCAGATTGGGAAGGTAAATAACCTCCCGTCAAAATTGAGTACCTTACCGCACTTTCCACGGGTTGAGCAGTGAATTTGTTTTATTATTGTCTATTTCCGGGTTGAAAGAATTTAGCAATTTTTTGTCAAATGAGCACAGTGCACTGGGTCATCCATTTCGTCTCCTTCACCTCGCCATTGTAGGGAATAACATTTCAAGAAATAAAACAAGCAAATCCTTCGTTTTTTTGTACCTCCATACTCATATATGTATTCTAGAATGAAGAAGAGATAGGAGTGGGACTTGTGCGGTGTTGGCACAAAAGATGATGGTGATGAAACGATAACTTACCATTGCAATCAACTGTTCAGCTGCCATTTCTGGAGGGGAACCTAAACACATTTGTGATTTCCCTTCCTTTTGGCACAAGTGAAAGAAAATATGTGCCAAAATTAAAGATTATTTTCCTCTTTCTGTTAAATGCATAGAACTGTAATCAATAATGATACAACAATACTCACCTATTTTCGCCAGATTTATCACACGCTTTGAAGTTATTTCGAATTAACATGAAGCACCAAAGTGATAATCCTTTTTGACCTCTCATGAATAGGAAAAGGAACACTTTAAGCAAAAAGGCTCATAAATTGTAAATAATTCAAATATTAATATTCATATTTAAAATCTCATTGTAGTACCTGAAGGCCAATTGTATACTCATTTTTATGATATTAAAGAGGACAGAATTGAATAACACTAGAAATGCTTGGGCAAAGTGATTGTGAGTTGAGCCGTAGAAAAATGGTTCTATTCAAGACAAAAACAAACGTTGCTGAAAAATTTCACACTCAAATACGGATACGCGTTGTTGTTGGACAATAAGAGGGTGGCATGGAAATGACCCAGGATAGAACTCTCTGGATGCAGGCATCTTACATAAAGTGATCAATTGTGGATGGATGGAAAAAGCCTCGAGTTAAACAAATGGCTGCATTTGCTGATTAATTCCCTTCTCTCTCTCCCTCTTGGTTCCGTCTTTGGGATTGGGGCCCAAATATTTAAATTGAAATGATGCGCCTAGTAAAAGTGCATAATTTACAAAATAATTTACATTAATTTTAATATACAAATTAAATTTACAAAAATTAAATAAAATATGAGTACTGTTAAATTTTAAAAAAAAATAAAAGCAAATTCATTGTATTTTCCACTTATTGTATTTATTGTACTTATTCCGGTGGCCTGTGTTTAAATAAATGGAACTAAGGTTAAGGACGGCCACTCATATTTAAGAGAGTTAGCGAACAATGAGGAGTGCAGACGTACCGCAGAGAGCAGAAGTGATGACTTCGAAGGAGAAGCAATTGTGCGCATGTCTGATTCATGCGATCGGGTGCAGAACGAAATGCTCTCCAATTGTGATCAGCAATGCCTTGTTTTATATGCATCGAGTCTACCACAAATTCTCTCATGCCAAACTCAAACCCATCGATCTCGCCATCACCACGATTTTCATAGCTAACAAAACGGAGGATCTTCGTGTGCCTCTTTCACTTCTAATTGACGCAGCCTACTACATTGTAGGAAGTCGACAAACCCCGTCTCGAGCAATGTATCATAAAATAGCTGCCAAGATTTTCTCGTTGGAGGGGATGCTGCTTATGTACCTCGGATTTCAGTATTTGGAGGGCAGGCATCCACATTTCGTTCTGGCCAAGATGGAGCCAAAGGGGAAGTTGGCCAAGGACCTGTTGGAGTGCGCCTATGTGATCAGCATCAATATGCTCCTCTTCACTACCTTCTGCTTGCGTTACTCTGCCGAGGAAGTGGCTGCTGCCTGTGTGAAAGTTGCTGCAACATGGATGAAACGTGATATGGGATGCCATGCGGAAGCCTGGCTGCAGGAGTTCGGTGAGGGTGTCAAGTTCGAGCTAATTTGTGAGATAGCTGAAGGATTCATAACCACCTTCAATGATGTTGACCCAAGGATTAAAGAGGAGGTGAGAGCAACGATGCATAAATATAGACTGACTTTGAATGAGACGTCGACGTCCGTAGAACGCCGTGATGCTCGCCCGCAAGTACTTCCTCCTCCAGCCAACGTGCATCCTTCTTCCTTAACAATTCTACCCTCACCTCCTGCTCAACCTCATCTTCATCCTCCTCTTCTTATTTCTCCTCCTTGCCTACAACCCGGTGTTAATCATTCTCTTCTTCCAAATGCTCCCGTTCCTCCTCCCACACGACGTCATCCTACTCCTATTTTACGTTCTCCTCCTCTACCTCCGGATTATCCTACTTCTCTTCTTCAACATTCACTCATTCCTCCTCCTTCTCCTCTTCCTCTTCTTTCTCCTCCTCTGCCTCCTCAAAATACTCCTCCTCCTCCTCCTGGTTCTCCTCCATGTAATCTTACTTTTCTTCCTCAAAATTCTTCCATTTCTCGACCTCTTTCTCCTCTTCGTTCTCCTCCCCTTCGTTCTCCTCGTCTTCCTCCTCAAAGTCCACCATGCTCCACCAAGCGCTCCAGTAATGCGCCACCAGGGCCAACTGAACGAGATTCCACCTCAGAGAGTGGTGCAAAAAAGCCTCGCATGGACCAGTACCACTACTACTAGCTCATTCACATCCACCCAATGCCCACGCGATGCAAAACTTGTGCCTTTCTTTCCTTGTACATTCTTTCTTTGTGTGCATCTGTGCAACTCTGCTTTTGTAAATTTTTTAATATAAATTAATATTCGGCATTGTATTTGCTATGTCTATTTTTCCTGCCTTCTTCTGTCTTAACTTGGACTCGCGCGGCTATTATTTCTTAATGAGCTTTCAACATGGTGATTAGGGCCAGTCACCCTTGAGGCCAAATCAGATGGTTCTTGCTCTTTTGTTGTTTAGTTATTACGATATCTTTCCGCAAATTTGCCTACCCCGAACACAAAACCCTACCTCGTTAATCTAATACAAGTCGTGTTGTTATTAATTATTTTGATTGCAGGGTAAAGTTTATACGCAGTCGGATGAAATTTTCGAGTACAAATCAGTCTCAGACCAGTAGAATTTGTTGAATTTTATGGCGTTCGGGTCTAACAGATGTTTAATCACAGTATAATTGCACCCCTTTAATAGGTCGATAAAACTAGGTCAAACTAATTTTAATGTTATATCAGATCAGTTATATTTCCATGTCTCGTTGTTAAAATTGGTCGTGAAAGTTTGATATGTGCCTATCCAAAATTCGAGGCTTACTAAAGGCGGTTTTCCACTTGGCCTAAAATTTCAGATTTCAAAATTACTCTTTAAGTTATTAAAGTTTCGAAAAATATCCAACTTAAATTAAAGATTGCAATATCGTTTGTTCAAAATAACGTGCAAAATAAGTTAAAAACACAGTAAAAACAACTAAGTTCTTTTCAAAACTACATGAAATTGTGGAATCTTTCTTCGGTTTGCTTGTCGTGAAAACATTATCTCTCAAGCAAAGGACTAAGATTCGAATGCAGACTGCTTTCAGCATG